AATAACACCTTTAGAGGGCGGCGGTGAGTAACGTTTGTTTATTTGATGTTTGTTAATAACACCTTTAGAGGGCGGCGGTGAGTAACGTTGTTATTTTGATGTTGTTAATAACACCTTTAGAGGGCGGCGGTGAGTAACGTTTGTTTATTTGATGTTTGTTAATAACACCTTTAGAGGGCGGTGTTGAGTAATGTTTGTTTATTTGATGTTTGTTAATAACACCTTCAGAGGGCAGTACTGAGTAACGTTTGTTTATTTGATGTTTGTTAAAAACACCTTTAGAGGGCGGCGGTGAGTAACGTTTGTTTATTTGTTGTTCGTTAATAACACCTTTAGAGGGCGGCGGTGAGCGATGTTTGTTTATTTGATGTTTGTTAATAACACCTTTAGAGGGCAGTACTGAGTAACGTTTGTTTATTTGATGTTCATCAATAACCCCTTTAGAGGGCGGCGGTGAGCGACGTTTGTTTATTTGATGTTCGTTAATAACACCTTTAGAGGGCGGCGGTGAGTAACATTTGTTTAATTGATGTTCATCAATAACCCCTTTAGAGGGCGGCGGTGAGCGACGTTTGTTTATTGATGTTCGTCAATAACCCCTTTAGAGGGCGACGGTGAGCGACGTTTGTTTATTTGATGTTTGTTAATAACACCTTTAGAGGGCGGCGGTGAGTAACGTTTGTTTATTTGATGTTTGTTAATAACACCTTTAGAGGCGGCGGTGAGTAACGTTGTTTATTTGATGTTTGTTAATAACACCTTTAGAGGGCGGCGGTGAGTAACGTTTGTTTATTTGATGTTTGTTAATAACACCTTTAGAGGGCGGCGGTGAGTAACGTTTGTTTATTTGATGTTTGTTAATAACCCCTTTAGAGGGCGGCGGTGAGTAACGTTTGTTTATTTGATGTTTGTTAATAACATAGAGGGCGGCGGTGGTACGTTTGTTTAATTTGATGTTTGTTAACATGTTTAGAGGGCAGATGTGTAATGTCTGTCTGTCTGCCCTGCAATGGACTGACGACCTTCAGGGGCTGTTCCGAGTGACTGTGATGTTTGACTCGAGGATGTGGTTTAAAAGCACCTTGTAGAGGGACGGCGTTGAGTAACGTTTGTTTATTGATGTTCGTTAATAACACCTTTAGAGGGCGGCGGTGAGTAACGTTTGTTTATTTGATGTTTGTTAATAACACCTTTAGAGGGCGGCGGTGAGTAACGTTTGTTTATTTGATGTTTGTTAATAACACCTTCAGAGGGCAGATGTGAGTAACGTTTGTTTATTTGATGTTTGTTAATAACACCTTTAGAGGGCGGCGGTGAGTAACGTTTGTTTATTTGTTGTTCGTTAATAACCCCTTTAGAGGGCGGCGGTGAGTAACGTTTGTTTATTTGTTGTTCGTTAATAACACCTTTAGAGGGCGGCGGTGAGTAACGTTTGTCTATTTGATGTTCATCAATAACCCCTTTAGAGGGCGGCGGTGAGTAACGTTTGTTTATTTGATGTTTGTTAAAAACCCCTTTAGAGGGCGGCGGTGAGTAACGTTTGTTTATTTGATGTTTGTTAATAACACCTTTAGAGGGCGGCGGTGAGCAATGTTTGTTTATTTGATGTTTGTTAATAACACCTTTAGAGGGCAGTACTGAGTAACGTTTGTTTATTTGATGTTCATCAATAACCCCTTTAGAGGGCGGCGGTGAGCGACGTTTGTTTATTTGATGTTCGTTAATAACACCTTTAGAGGGCGGCGGTGAGTAACATTTGTTTAATTGATGTTCATCAATAACCCCTTTAGAGGGCGGCGGTGAGCGACGTTTGTTTATTTGATGTTCGTTAATAACACCTTTAGAGGGCGGCGGTGAGCGACGTTTGTTTATTTGATGTTCGTCAATAACCCCTTTAGAGGGCGGCGGTGAGCGACGTTTGTTTATTTGATGTTCGTTAATAACACCTTTAGAGGGCGGCGGTGAGTAACATTTGTTTAATTGATGTTTGTTAATAACACCTTTAGAGGGTGGCGGTGAGTAACATTTGTTTAATTGATGTTCGTTAATAACACCTTTAGAGGGCGGCGGTGAGTAACATTTGTTCAATTGATGTTCGTTAATAACACCTTTAGAGGGCGGCGGTGAGTAACATTTGTTTAATTGAGGTTCGTTAATAACACCTTTAGAGGGCGGCGGTGAGTAACATTTGTTTAATTGATGTTCGTTAATAACACCCTTTAGAGGGCGACGGTGAGTAACGTTTGTTTATTTGATGTTTGTTAATATTTAAAAGGCAGCAGTGAGTAGTGTTTATTTGCGCCTCAGCTGTGTCTATCTTCAGTTGGAAGCATCAACATGAGAAGTGTTGGCTATTTTAGGCCTGCACTCTAAAAACGGATACAATGAGTCTTCAGCTAAAATTTAGAGGTCAAAAGAATAGGCTGAAAAACGCTGAAATACTTCTTTAAGCTTTCAAAATAAATGCAGTGATTTGGTATAAACCCCTGTATGTACTATTCAGAGAGTGTGCAGTCCTGTTTTTGGCAGTGTACTGTGCTTCAAGACTGGAGACAGTCTGCAAGAATCTTAATTAAGGCCACATCTAATATGTGTTCACTCAGCAAGAAAAACCCACAGCAACCAAGAGAAAAGAATAACATAACACTTAGAAAGGCCTCACTGTGCCATTACTGTCAAACTGTTCTTAAAGTTACAGAGTTATGTCCAAAGCACTGACAAAAACACGAGGCCTGCTCTGGGGTAATGCAGTCAGAGAGTAAAACCTGAACATGTGCACAGCTCACACAATGTCCAGTCTCTTCATCTGGCAATGTACAATGCTTCAAGACTGGTACAAGCGTCTAGCAGTGGCGGTGGTATGACTGGGCACTGATGCTTAGGCCCTCCAACTTTTGTTGCTGGCCAAACCAACATTAAATCTTACTAATGAATGCACTCAATGCATATATGACATTCACAATCACAGTATATGACATTCACAATCACATAGCTGAAATTAGAATCATTGTGCTGGTAAAAAAAAAAGCAAAGACTGCTTACAAAATAAAAGTTACTGCCTTAAACAGTGCTATATTATGGTATTTTTATTGTTATATGACCAAAAATGTTCACGAAATGACTGCAATATACAATGACATGTAACCAAAAAAAATTCTTTCCTCCTTCAGCAGTAGATGATTGCTTGGCAACAGTAGCGTAAACAAATTACATTTTTGGGGGCAAGAATTGTTCACTGGGATAATTATTCATTAGAACAAATCTTTCATTGAAATTGTGTATATTTTTTCATTTTTTACCATTTTATAAAAGCAACAAGCTACCTGAGGTCATGATTATAGTGATTTTACCATGGTTAAGGGGGTTTTAATCGGTTTTGAGTCAGCTAAATTTTTAGTGATAAAATCACAGTAACACATGGCCTCCTGTGCTTTATTAAAAAAATACCAAAACTATAAAGTAACTGCTAAGTATTTCAACCTTGGAGGAGGACAAAAGCTCATCATAGAGATCATCTCTCTTCCAAGACCAAAAGTGATAGAAGTGACCAAGAACCTCATTCCAACTTTGAAACACAGTGGTGGCAGCATCATGATCAAAGGTTTGGGCACCTCTGGTAAAATTATAATTTGTTGATTTTCTAAATGAAAATACGTTTACACCTCTAGAGAAAACTCACTTTTACAGATTTTATCACACAATTTTTCATTCATTTATTGATCAATGTGGTCCAACATTACATATTTTGAGTGGCAAAAGTAGGTGAACTTAGAATGAGAATTATCAGTGTTGTACAGGTGATAATGAGGGTCAGGAGGTTCAATCAATAGAAGGACAATCAGGTGTGACTGCAGCTGACCCTATCCTATTTAAAAACACATCAACCTGAGTCGTCACCTTCGAAGTCTGGTCTTTACCACTTACATTTGTTAGAGCATGCCATGTGTCAGTAGAATGAGATTTCCAAGGACCTCAGAAAAACACTGGCCAAAGCTCATTAGGCTGGGAGATGTTCCAAAACAGTTATAGAACAGTGTGGACACCGATCCACTGTCAGACAGTGTAGAAATGGGGGAAATTCAACACCACTGTTATCCTTCTCAGGAGTGATCATCCAACAAAAATAACTCCTAGAGTAAGCTGTAGAATGTGCTGGGAGATCACAAAGAACCCCAGGGTAACATCTAAGGATCTGCAGGCCTCTCTGACACAGGCTAATGTCAGTGTTCATGAGTCCACCATCATGCAAACACTTAACAAGAGTAAAACATGGAATGATAGCATGGAGAAAGAAAGCCACTACTCTCCAGAAAGAACATTACTGCCTGTTTAAGTTCCCCGAATAACTGGTTCGAAACACAGTGGTGGCAGTATCAGTCTGGGGCTGTTTTGCTGCTATAGGACCAAGACAGCATGCCATCATTTGATGGGTTTATGAATTCTGGATTGTTTTAGGAAATTCTACAGGAGAATGTCCGGGCATCCATCCGTGAACTGAACCTCAACAGAAGATGGGTCCTGCAGAAAGACAACAACCTTAAAAACACCAGTTAGTCTACAAAGAATGATTAAAGCAGGAGAAATGTTTCATTATCGCTGAGTCAAAGTCCAGACCTCGATCCGGTACAAATGATGAGGCAGACCCTAAGGTGTGGTGTTCATGCAAAAAAGCCCACCTACATAACACAGTTGAAGCACTTCTGTAAGGAAGATGGGCCAAGATTGCACACTGACTCCAAGTCAATGTGCAGTGCTGATCAACAGTTACAGGAACTGTTTGCGTGAAATCATTGCTGCTCAAGGGGTCACACTAGTTACTGAAAGCAGAGGTTCACATACCTTCCCCAACAAAGACATTGAAATGTTGAATCACTTTGTTTAATAAAGAAAAAACTACACAATATGGCCAAAAGTTTGTGGACGTCCCACACATTCCGTGTATGTTCTTGTCAATTATGAACATTTTCAGCATGTATATACTTACAAAACGAGAGGAGTTGTCATTCCTGAGCTTCCAGCAGGGGGTTGGCTGCAACGATTTGGTCCTCCAGTGAACCCTAGAATGATAGACATTTCAATGAAGAGTTCACAGACAAATTCTCTCAGAATCCTGGAACAGTAATTTATTTACCTGCATTTTGCCTGGAACAGGCTCTGCCTTCTTCTGTCCAGTCATTGCAACTGTTGCAAAGTACTGGATGACACGTTTGGTGTTCACAGTCTTTCCTGCACCGGATTCTCCACTGGGGATGGAATAGATTAACAATATTCCGTCTCAGTGGTGATCTTTGTTTTAGAAAGTGATTTAAAAAAATATTGTACCTTATGCATGTTATTTTTCTTATATCTTTGAGAATTTATTTACATTTTTTATAGTCAGTGGATAAATCACCATTTCAGCAAGACGCATTTTGTGCTTCTTGTGGTTATCAGCTAAAACCAATATATGCACTGAATATGCACAAAAACGGTGATGACTATAATGTAAACCAGAAAGAATTTATATGTGATAAATATAAGCATGATAATGTAAGAAGAAAACTTTCATACAAGTCTGCACTTACGTAATCAGGACGGACTGGTTTTCACGATCTGAAGAGAAACATAAGGCACGTTATTCAAGTACCCAATTCACACAGGAACAAATTTGTGCACTCTGTGAAACTCAGACTGGGAATCAATTAGTAAATCCTGTTTTCTAATCAGGTGTCAAACCAATATCATACCAGTCAGCATGAACTGATAGGCGTTATCAGAGATGGAGAAGATGTGGGGTGGGGCTTCAATTCTCTTTTTTGCCTCTGTATCCAGCCACAACAACTGGATCATATACTGGGAGCCACTTGTAGGGGTTCACAGTGACGCAGAACAACCCTGAGTAGGTCTGAAGATGTGAATGGAAATATTTTCAGAATTCATTATGATATAACTGCAATTATAAATCAATCTTAATCTGTCATTCTTTGGATTCATGGGATATCTGCTCATCCAATGTTTCTTCTGAAAAGAAGAATATTAAAAAGGAATTTGTCCCCTTTTGCTACAATAACTGTCTTTACTCTTCAGGGAAGGCTTTACACTAAAGGTTGGAACATCGCTGTGAGGATCTGATAGCATTCAGCAAGGGTATTGATTTTGGATGATTATTTCTGGATCACATACGCCACTCCAACTCATCCCAAAAGTATTGGTTGTTGCTCCATCACACTAGAAAATGCGGTTCCACTGCTCCACAGCTCAATCCTGGGGGGCCTCATACCCATCTAGCCTCCTCTTGGCATTAAACATGGTGGCCTTAGGCTCAAGTGCAGCTGCTCCAGAGCATCCTGTTCTACTGTCAGTGCTTTTCTATGGAGACTCTACTGTACATACACTGACTACAATGCCAGAATAATAAAGAGAAATAGGGAGCATTATTCTGAGTTGTACATGTCTCAGTTTCAGTTTTCTTCAGTTTTGAGGTCGACACTTAGCTAATGTCTCTAGTAATGGCTGCCACTTCATTGTAGCCCCCTGTTTGCAGGACTGAAATTCAAGGTTCGTCCCAACCCGTGGATTTATCACGCCCATCCAGAACAGCAGTCCTGGCGCCGCTACTGGCTTCAAGCCTCCATCAGCTATGATCAGACAGAGCAGAACACGGTCTTTAAGAGCCTTAATCAGGGCGAGCTAAGGATGATGCCAATGATGTCACTGGAAATCCAACATACTGGGCCTCAGGGCGAAAGCTAGAAAAAGAATGAGAGCCAAAGATGCTCAGAATAAATATACACATTCAATCAGGAGTGAACAAAAAAAGAAAACACCTTCAAATTCAATATAAAATGTGATTTTTGAAAAACAACATACTCCCATGAGCCACATTACTGGAGGGAAAACTAATTCAATTAAATGATCCTAATTAGATTTTCTCCGACTCCCCACTCATCTACGCAATAGCGGCGCAATATTTCCAGCTCCTGGATTTGCCGTAAGAGACGAGATTCGGAGAAATGTCATCTCTTTCCCTGCAGAGAGCCCAGTGACTCATCCCAGGGGACACCACTCCAAGAAGGTTTTAAACAAGAAACAACTGACAGGACCACAAGTGAGTCCTTTAAAAACTCAGTGAGGCTGCTGGGCTGGTTTGGCCTGGTGCTCATGCACACAGCTGAGGCAGGCTGAGGGTGCCAGTAGCGCTGTGGTGGGAAGCGGCTGGGCTCCGGGTTCACAGGCTGTTTTTGTTATTGCACACCGCCGTGACACGGCACGTAAAGGTCACTCCGGAGTGTTTGTATGGGCACAAAGAGGTAAAAAGCGCCCCTCCCCCACCTCAACAGTTACACCACAGTGTGAGCAACTTCGATGAGCTCAGCACAAAACAGACAGATGATTCATATCTGCAGGCCGGCGAGGCGCTTTGCTTCGGAGCTGAAAGCAGCGTTGCATGAATAACCAGCCGAGTGGTCTCGCGTTAGTGCTGGAAGAAAACGTTTCATGCATATTCAGAGTGTTCCGAATTTTCTGGTGACTGTTTTTCTCACAGCAGAAAGGCCACCGGCGTCCAGCACGTCCTACAAAGAATCTCTTTGAATAACTGTTTATACCCAAGGCAGCGCAGCAGCATTCCAAGAAATCCCGCGTCTGTTACTTAGAGGAAATGCTGGAACACGAAGTCGGCTGTTAGCTCAGCTCCTTTCACCTTAGCGTTATTTGATGCATGGAGCTTTTCCCCCGCTCTTCACTTTACTGGAAGCTTAGTTAAGTCCAGGCCTTTTTCTGGGACAGCTCTAGCTCTGGTCAGTGGTCGAGCCACACGTAGGATGTCCGCTGCCAGCAGAGGTCACACACATGGCTGACATTACTGTACTGACTGAAACATCATCTTGCACACATAACCACACTTGTCCATTGAAACAGACACCAGAACCAGCAGAGGTTCCACTCAACACACACACACGCACTCCATCTAAACGACACTAGCTGGATTTCCTTTTAAATGTTTTGCACATTAATCAGTTGCCATGTTTACATGCAGCCTAACAATCCTTTAATAACCAGACTAATAGCTCAATCAGAATAGAATATGTCCATGTATACACCTCAATCGGACTAGTCTGACTGAGGCCATTCGGAATGTAATCTTTATCCGATTGAACAAGGTGGGTAATCCTGTAAATAATCCGTTAAATTGAAGAATAATAACCATGCAAATGTGATTACATTCCCAATCTGAGAGTTTAAGTCTGTCTGATCATGTGCGTAGCGTCATAGTGAAAGTTTACACCGTTCAACATGGCGGGAGCAGAAACTGGTCTGCAGAGGAGACGAAGTTTATGCTCTGATCTTTAAAAGACGACGGTGGGACGGACGTCCAGTTTATGTGTCTCAGAACACGACGTCTTCCTCTCGGCCTTCTTTAATAAGGACATGTGAAGGACGTTTTCCTGAGTCTGACAACATTTTAAAGCAATTAAAAACACAAGCACTGCTCACTGCTGCTCATCTCACTCTGACTGGACTCACGTGATGCTCGTTGTCATGATAACGTCTACACTAAGTGGTTCTCTACGCATGTGTGTGATTATGGATCGGATTACTTGTGGTGTGAATGTAAACTGAGATTATCCATCAGATTGTTGAGTAGAGTGAGCAGATGAACACCTCAGTCTTAATCTATAGTCAGAATGTATTCAATCGGATTGGCAAAAATCTTTGCATGTAAACACAGCCAGTGTTTCCTTCAACTACTGTTATGTGCAAATTCCTGAAGATGAAGTGTGACAAGACATACAGTGAGAGACATAAGAGGGGATTCACCTGGTCCAGTTTTCTACATGCCATGGTTTCCCAAGTGGTGCTTGTTATGTCAACTTTGCCAGAGGTTTCAGGCGGCAAAAGCAGCATTCGCCACTTATAAATGGAGTGAAAACCACGCTCACAGGGCACAAATGGCATGTGTGCCCCAGCATACCGAGTACCGGAGGGCACCCAAGAGTCACTCTTACCATTATTAGCTCACAGTAGAGCAGTTTTGACAGCCCTCTGTCAGCTGTATATAGTAGTCCTAACAGTTCAAACATGCCACCATGGCCCATTTAATGAGGTCTGAAGCTGTCCCACCTAGATGGTGCCCACCAAACCCCTGCGAGTGCCACTGGAGAAAAAGGTTCTGAGAGAATTTAAGGCCAAACACGTGACTTTTGTTTCTGCAACCTCAACACTTACTCAAAAAATCTGTTTCCATCATCATTTTTCACGTTTCTCCTTCATCGACAAAGCAACTTTTTCACCTCATCCATGTGTGAGAACTTTATTTGAATATATTTGCTTTATTTGAGCATTTTTTGCTCCATATTTCTGTTTTTTCCAGTCAGGTTTTTTTAATGTGCATTTTCAAAATTCCCAAAAAGAAGTAGGTAGAAAACCCGCTGCTTAAGAACAGTACCAGTAAAAAGTTTGTACTCACTTTACTGAACGTATGTTTCATAATCTAAAGGCCCAAGATATGTTTCCATGGAATTACCAGTCAAAAGTGGACATACCTAAAGAAATATGCATATATTTAATTTTTTTAATCAATTTCTTCCCCCCAAATTATTTGCGTCCAACTCCCACCGGCTAAGTAGGGCGCCCCTTATCACATGATGTTACCACACAGGGAGGGTGAAGACTAGCACATGCTTCCACTGTATCAGTAGACGGCTCAACACACTAAGAGAACACTAACTGCCAAGTCTCGTATAGCAGCTAACAGACTTCCGCATTGGCAAGCATCAGGCTAAGTGAGGAGGGGGGGACAGCAAAGGGTAATTCTACCCACCCAGAGAGAGCGAGGACATGCTGTGGCATCAACAGGACCTGAATTTGTAACTCCCTTTTTTTTTATGTAAAGGCTTATGCTTTTCAAATAAAATCAGTTTCAAAGACAAACAGATACTGTTAAAAAAATGTGTTTTTTTTCTTCAGTATTGTTGGCAAAATCTTCAGAGGTGGCTCCTCATTAAGCTGCTTGAGAGAATGATCAAGAGTGTGTGAAGCTGTATCAAGCGAAAGGCAGGAATAATTTCTGAAAAAAATCTAAAATAGAAGATATTTCCGTTTTTTGATCTCCGTTTAACGCATTTAAAGTTGCAAATATGGTTTGTATGTGCTGCTGTGATTCGTCCTGTAAAGCCTGCACAACCCACACTGCAAATCTGTTCTTCTGCACATTGCATGCAGTTACACATTTTCACCAGAGAGGTCTCCAAAATCTCCCAAACTTATATAGTGTAGCCTAATAATGTCTTTATTATTCTAAAATGTGGAAGAGTAAAATAAGGAAAAACATTTTATAAGCCGTTTTGACTGAAACTATACATTAATGACACTGATGACTATGCATTTTTTCCAAAAGTATAAACTAAAATAAATGGAAAAAATACTGAACACCCTTGCACCCCCTTTCAATGATTTGGGGTTACTTTGAATAATCTAAAACAGTTTTTCACTTCTTGATCAGCCCAAAACCCATGTATGCCATTTCATAGTCTTCATGTCATCACATTCTCCAAAAATAAAGGACCCATCATGAGTAGGTGTGTCCAACCTTTTGACTGGCACTGTATGAAGAGTCCATCCCAGAAGCTCTCAAACGAGGCCGATAACTTGGATGGAAATGTCGTGCAAATGTGTGTGATTGTGTCATGATTCAAGTGGTCAGGACAGCTTGCAACAATGTGTCATGGAGTGGTCACTTACGGACTAGTCATTCCTTTCCCACCACTGCAGAACTATTACCAGCACACTCTTATAGAGAGCTCTTGCACTAAAATAGCATCTTAAACAAAGCATTTGTTGTGCTTTTGTTTGATGTAGAGTGTTTTACTTGCTCCAGTTCAAGTCTGTGGTTTTGTCTTGTCAAC